AAAAAAAAAAAAAAATGAAAGTGATCGGGCCGGCCCGGTGGCACACTGGATAGGTGCGCCACTTGGGAAGCGCGGCGGCGCTCCCGCCGAGGGTTTGGATCCCACATACAGACCGGTTCCCGCTCACTGGCTGAGCGAGGCGCGGGAGCAGCACCAAGGGTTGCGATCCCGTTGCCAGTCCCCGGTCCGGTGCGGGGGCAACACTGAGGGTTGCGATCCGTTGCCGGACACGGAAAAAGAAAAAAGACAAAAAAAAAAAAAAAAAATGAAAGTGATCGGGCCGGCCCGGTGGCACACTGGATAGGTGCGCCACTTGGGAAGCGCGGCGGCGCTCCCGCCGAGGGTTTGGATCCCACATACAGACCGGTTCCCGCTCACTGGCTGAGCGAGGCGCGGGAGCAGCACCAAGGGTTGCGATCCCGTTGCCAGTCCCCGGTCCGGTGCGGGGGCAACACTGAGGGTTGCGATCCGTTGCCGGACACGGAAAAAGACAAAAGACAAAAAAAAAAAAAAAATGAAAGTGATCTCTTTGAGCTAATATGGATTGGTTTTCAAGAGGTATTGCAAGTGAAAAAAATCAAAGTGCACAAGAGTTATCTGTGGCTGCCGCCCTTCACAGGAGAGAGACGGACACACAATGACATAGACATGCCTCCAAAGTACAAAGAAAACCCACAAAGCCGAGGCCTGGATCACCTCCTCTCAGCTGCCCTCCCAGGAGAACACCTGTAACAACCGTGCACATGGCCTCATCAGGGTCCAGCACACTGTGACCTCCAGGGCCTCACTCAGGCCTGGTTGGTGGGACACATCCAGGAATAGTCAGGATGAAGACAAGGATGAACAGTGGACAGGCCGTCCCGAGTAGTGGCAGTGTCAGTGCACTTGAGCTACAGCAGAGGGGACGGTACATCAGCCCTTCAGGAGGGTCCAGAATACCAGTGACACTTCCACCCCACGGGCTCTCTGACTCAGACCACAGCAGCTTAGCTACACCATGGGGCTTCGCTGGGGGCTGCACAGTGTCTGAAATGTTTGGGGATCCTGGTTTTCAACCAGGAGATTTTACATATATGCTCCCCCAATATCCTGGTAGCACCAGGGCCGCCTTCCACCTGCTGGAGCATGGACCCTTCCCGCTCAGTGGTGCCCCCGCAAGTGTCGTCTACCCCAGTGGTCCCCACCAGCCACCAGCCTCACTCTCCACACCTGCCCGGCCACCAGGGCTTCTGAGCTAATGTGAGAGAAGCTGTGCAAAGCCGTGCCTGGCTGGCTTTCTGTCCTGCACTTTCAGGGGGTTATAAAGAATTATTTTTCCCACACTGGGCTAGCTGCGGAGGAGGCCTGGCGCTCTGAGCTGAGCATGGAGAAGTGTGACACTCAGAGGGACAGCAGAGTTCAGGGGCACCTTCCTCTGCTGCAGCTTGCAGGGGGCCGTCGATTGCAGGTGGGCTCCCCGGCTCCATGATTCTCACCACAACAACCAGTCAGTCTTTGCTCATGGAGCACAAGCTTGTCCTCACAGCAGCCCAGGGAGCAAAATCTGGTCAACGGCATGTTTGGGTTGGGCAGCCAGTCATCAGTCCTGCCGACAAGGCGGCCACCACCACGACACGTCTCACTTAGGGCTGGGAGAGCATGGCGCTGGAGAAAAACCAGCCAAGGCCAGAGTGCAGATCTCAGCCCCGCCACGTACTGGCTGTGGCACACCAGTTTCTCCATCTGCAGAAAATACTAATACGGTTCTCATGCAGTTGCTGGGAAGGATTCAGAGAGATGCAGCTGAGTACACAGCCATAGCTTTAAAAAAAAAATCCATTCATTGTACCAAGATCTATGAAGCTGCTGTTGGGGACTCTGTTAGTTTCCTAGGGCTGCCATAGCAAAGTGCCACAACCTGGGTGGCTTCAAACAACAGGAACTTATTCACTGACAGTTCTGGAAGCCAGAAGTCTGAAATCCAGTTGTCTGCAGAGCCATGCTCCTTCCAAAGGCTCTGATGGACAGTGTGTCTCGTGACTACTCCTGGCTTCTGGTGGCTGCCGGCAACACTTGGTGTCCCTCGGCATCCTTGGCTTGTAGACACATCCCTCCCATCTCTGCCTCCATCGTCGCATGGCCTTCTGCTCTATGCCTGTCTTCTCTTCTTATGAGGACACCAGTCATGGGATTTAGGGCCCATCCTAATCCAGTATGACCTCCTCTTAACTAATTGTATTCACAAAGACCCTATTTCCAATCACATTCTGAGGTTCTGGGTGGGCATGAATTGGGGGGGGGGGCACTGTTCAACCCAGTACAAGTGCTAAGCCCTGTGATGAGCCCAACAGACAGGGCCCCTGCTGTCAAGAAATGTGCAGTCTACAGCCTCTTTCTTCATTAATTTGTCTTCTTTGTTCTTGATGGGTCTGTCCCTGAGAGCTGCCTCCACCCCATCCTGTGGCAGGAGAGGCCAGGAAGAGCTGGGAGGGGAGCGTGTCCAGGCCCCAGGTGCAGGACCCCGGCCCGAGGGAGGACGCGAGGGTGGGGCCCCGGAGCCTCTGGGCCCTCCTCGGGCTGGCAGGGCAGTGCTGGTTCTCTCATTTTAGATGGCAGAGCAGCTGATGACCCTGGCCTACGACAATGGCATCAACCTCTTCGACACCGCGGAAGTCTACGCAGCTGGCAAGTATGTGTCTTTTCTCTCGGGAAACAGAGGGGCCTGGGAATTGCTGGAGGCTCTGGCTCCTGCACTCCCACTCCCAGGAGTGTCCACATGTGTGCCTTCCATTCCGTCTTCTTTTTTAAACTCTACATGGCTTTTTGTTTTCATGGGGCCAGAATCGCAGAACCCTTGGACACTTGCTAAAGTCCCCACGTGCCCCAGCACTGGGTGACCATGGTCCCTCTGGTGCCAAAGATGCCATGCTGGGCAGGGGCCCTGATCAAGCTGTTGTCCTGGGCACTCTGGACGTGCCGGCGACCTGCGGCCAGCCCCACGCACCTGACATTTTCCTGTCTTGGTGGTGCAATTACGTCTGCAGGAAAGGCAGGGCCTCTCAGAGCTGGGGAGAGCAGGCTCTGCCCCGAGTGCTGTAGCAAGCATCTTGGCAGTGAACTTTCCTTCTCAATTATGTAAAAGCTCAGCCCTCTTCAGCCAGGGCTGTTGGCTTCTATTTTAAAGACTGGCTGTAATCAAATCATCCACTCTCCTGCATCGGGTCTCCAGAAGTCAGCTTTTGTTTGTGAAATCATTTGCTGGCTCTCTCTCTTCGCCCTCCTTCTGGCCCCCTCCTGCTCAGGGCGAGCCAAGTTCCCGTCAGCTGCGCTGGCCGCAGCCCTGGCCTGCTGTGCGCCGAGGCCACAGGGCCAGCACCTGTCCCGTGGGGCTCTCCATCATCACCTGCAGCCTGCAATGGGGCCCGGGGCACCACGCATCAAGGAACCCAGCCAGGCCTGTGCTCAAGCCCCGACCCAGGACCTGGGGGCTGACAGCCCCAGGAGTCTCCTCTGGGACCCCCAAACCTCCTGCAGCCCCCATCAGCAGCCCTTCTGCCCTCCTGTTGTTCAGCCCCTCCCACCCTGTCCAAACTGGCAGCAGCTTCAATCAAAGTGGAATGCTTTCCAGACAGATGAGCTAAGCTGGAGGGTCAGAGGCTGAAAGCCTTGTGCAGATGCCAAGCCTAGAGGTGTCACCCACCCGAGCCCCCCAGCCTCTTCCCTGGCCTGCTTCTGCCTGGGTTTTGCTGCCCACGAGAGTGTGCGGGAGGCAGTTCCACGTGGTCTCCTCCAGTTCCAGACGGCCTGGCCCCCACACCATGTCCAGGCCAGCACCCTCCACGTCCCGACAGCCACGCTGCTCAGTGTGTCTGTCTCACTGCTCCATTTAAAGGGGCACCCGGGGGTCGAGCCCGTGGCGCACTCGGGAGAGTGCGGTGCTGGGAGCGCAGCGACGCTCCCGCCGCAGCTTCGGATCCTGTATAGGGATGACCGGTGCGCTCACAGCGCTCACTGGCTGAGCGCGGTGCGGCCGGTCTCGAAAAGGACAAAAAATAAATAAATAAATAAAGGGGCACCCGGGACTGGCCCGCTGGGGCAAGCACACCAGGTCCTGGCAGCCTCCAGCCTCTCAGAACCACTTGTGGGAAAGCTGAGGACTCGGGAGCAGCTTCCCCCTGGGTTGCTGCTGTTCCTGGAACCCCCTGCCCTGTACTCTTCCCCTGGCCACCGCAGCTACTTCTCAGTCCAGCCTGGAGCTGAACCTGCCTTCTCGCCCCCAACCAATGCCCAGGGAAGCTGGGCTTGCATTCCGGGGACCAGCAGGGAGAAGCGCTCTGGGCAAAGGACTAAGAGGCAGCCCCAGTGAGCAGCAGACCAGGACTGTCCCTGCCCCTGACCAGGGTGGCCAGGCACATATCTTGCTGCGGTCCCCTGCTTCTCCTGCTGATGTTAATTAGCACGCTTCCCAGAGAGCTGCAGGAGTCTGTACCCCGCTGGACAGATGCAAGTCTCACCAAATTCCCGGCCAGGGCCACAAGCAACGGGCTCTGGTTAACTTGTCTCTGGCCCCATAGCCGTAAGACCGCTGCTAGCTTTTCTTCCTCCTTTCGTGATCCTTTGTCCAACAAATCAGGGACCAGTGAAGAAAAGGAAGAGGCCCAGGCCTGAGTGAATTTTCTGTGCATCTTGACCATAACCGAGGAGCATTCAGAAGGCATGCTAAACAGCTTGCAAATTAGAGCCCATTATCTCTGAGTGGATGACTCAGGCGCTTTTATAATTGGAATGTAGCACAGGGTATGGATCATTCTCCGTCTGTTGTTTTTCCTCAGAAACATTTTGTTACAAGCAGAAAGTTCTTAAAAGTTAATCCAGCACTGCGGTGCCAAGGGAGGCTGGAACAGCCTGCCCGTGACCCCGGCTGGCCCAAGTTTGGTGCAGGTCCCAGTGTGAGGCCAAGCAGAAGAGACAGTGGTCGGTGTGGTTCCGTCTCTCTGTTGTTCAAAAGCAAGAAACGAGAGGCGCACGCTCACACACGCATGTGCACACACGCACGCACACATGCGCACGCACGCACATTGCTGGAAGTCCCACCACTGGCCCTGAATATGCGCTGATTTTCTCTGAAAACAGAGGATGTACCTGAAGAATAACACCTTTTAAAAAATATGCTTGTCTGGAAATTTCACCCACGTAACATTGCTGGGCATTTTCCCCAGCGAATTTCCAGCCAGCCGGGAGACGTGGCACTGGCCTTGCTGAGCAGACGTCAGCTCTTTCCTTCTCTGCGAGAGCTGGGGCTGCTGCTGCTTGGACAAACGCCCACAGGGCCACATGCCCACAGCCACCTCAGTGGGGGAAACAACACAGCCATCTCAGCCAGCACCGGCCAGCCCCAGGCCTCGCCTCTCTCTGGAATGAGCTGCGGAGCCAGTGGCATATTCACAGGGGACTGAGTGGCCAGTTGTCATGGTGGGGCTGGGTTTGATTTTTCTGCTGTGCTGTGATGACGTCCCTGTGTCTCTCTCATCCCGCAGGGCTGAAGTGGTCCTAGGAAACATCATAAAGAAGAAGGGCTGGAGGTAACACTGATCTCTCTGCCATGTGTCCCCAGGGCCCCACACCAGGAAGGCTTATGCCACGTCCCCACGACAGCCCCTCCGTCTGCCCACCAGCTCCACGCTTGACCTCCTCGGGATCTGAGCACGCCACTCCTTCTACCCAGACCAAATCCACTCAGTCCTTGTATCCTCTGAGCCAGGGCCCCTCCTGCGTCCTCTGGGCTCTGGTCACACCAGGCCCCCCGCCATCCTGCCCCCACTGCCCGATTTACAGTTTCACGGTTAGCAGGTTGCATGGGTGGGCTGCCTCCTGGCTGGCTGGGAGCCCCAGGATCCCAGGCTTGGCATGTGGTATGCATGGAATGATGGGGACGTGCCCATTTCATGCCCCGGGACCCCACATGGGAAGGCTTTTAGGACCCCAGTGTGAGAGCTGAGGAGGTCAGGGTGATGGGGGGACTCCCGAGGGGCCGGCCCAGTAACGCCAGGAACGCCCCTCCTTCTCTTCTGTTCCGCAGACGTTCCAGCCTCGTCATCACCACCAAGATCTTCTGGGGCGGAAAGTAGGTGCTGCCACGGGCGACCCTCCCAGCTGGTGGTTAGCGGCTGTGGCCACGGCCCCACATTCTGTGGAGACCCCTGACTTGGGCAGCTCCTAGGGACAGTAGCCCTTGAGAAGGGAGGGTGTGCCGGGGTCTGTCCTGGACAGGTCCATCCTGGACCAGTGCAGTGTTCTGTCCCCAGTGTCCAACAGCTGTGGTTTGTGCAGCCACCTGCTGGGGCCAGTGCCCATCCCTGTTAAGGGACGTCAAATCCAGAAAAGTAGCTTTGGCTGGGTTTGTATTTCACTCCATCCTTATTTTATTTTTATTTTTATTTACCTGGGGTTTTTTCCTGATTACAAAGGTAACATTATAAAAAATTCTAGAAAACACAGAATTTGTGAACTGTCCAACCCCCTCCAAATTCCTTGGGCCACCAGTCACCTCTGCGTGTGTCCAAGTGTCTGGCTCCATATTCTCTCTGGGGCTGGACAAACTTAACTCATAGAAGTTATAAATATGATTCATTCTTAATTTTTTAAAAATCCAAGCCAAACAGAAGGGTAAGATTGAAAACCAAAGCCCCCGCCCCCCAGTGCTGTGCCACCTCGCCCCCAGTCACCCTGGGAGCAGCGTCCAGGTTTCCACCCTGGCCTGTGGGAGCGCAGCCTGGGAGCCTCAGGTTTTCACCTCCAAAGTGGAATCGCTGCACATGCTGCCTGCTGACCTGCTTTTCTCGCCTAACATTGCATCATAAACATTTCCCCAAAACCACTTGCAACATCCCATGTGCTGTTGGCCTGTTTTTCAGAGCGGAAACCGAGAGGGGCCTTTCCAGAAAGCACATCATAGAAGGTAAGGAGGGGCCCCCAAACCAGTGTGATCTTACCATGGGGGCAAAGGTGAAGACGCACATCCACCCCCAACAAGTTATGCAGCAGAGGGCCCACCCCGGGGTGCCCAGAACTCTGGTCTGACCCGCTCCTTCTGCCCCAGGCAGGTGTGGGTAGGTCTTCCATGGAATGAGGGCAGCGCTGTGGCTGGACAGACGGGCTGGGTTTCAGTCCAGGTTCGGCCCCACACTGGCTGAGTGGCCTGGAGTCAGGGACATTCCTTCCCCAGGCCTCGGTCACAGTGGCTATAAGGTGGGGGTAGGAAGGGCACCCACCTCTGGGGTTGCTGGGAATTGGGATGAAGCCAGGGGAAGTTGCACGTGGACACACGGCCGGGGCGTAGCACACAGGGGCACTGCAGGGAGAGGCGGCCCAGTGCCTGGCTTGTCTGTTTTTACTGTCTTTATACCTTTTCTATGCACGTTCATTTTCTCAAGGTACTTTACTGACTCCATTAAAAATCAACCAGGGGGCCTTGCTGCCTGCCTCTCCCCACCCTCAGATCCAACATTTCCACTCTGTCGCATTGGTTCTGAACTCTTTGGGAGAACCAGTTGATGATTTGTGCATTTTGGACACAGTTGGCCTTTATGTGATAGATGACAGGCGTAGTTCTCTCTCCATGTGACAACGTAGCTCACCTTATTGCAACATGGACCACCAGGAAGCCAAGGAGCAGCCCCAGAGGACGGTTGTGGTCTGGGGGGTGGTCCCCCTTCCTTCAGTCAGAGGACATTTGGCCTATGGTCCCCCCCATGTTATCCTGAAGGGCCAGGACCCCGACCTCCTTTGGGGTGTGTCCCCCCAAAAAAGTTTCTCAAGTCTCCACTGTTGTCCTGAAGCTCCCGGGTGCCAGGGCCTCTTCCCTTCCATCTCTAGCTCCCTGAGCTAGACATGGGGAGGACTCAGAAATGTTTGACAAGTGTTGGCAGCGGTGACGGCCCCTCCCGGTCCTCCCCAGGTCTGAAAGCTTCTCTGGAGCGGCTGCAGTTGGAGTATGTGGACGTGGTGTTTGCCAACCGCCCAGACCCCAACACACCCATGGAAGGTAGGTGGTCTGCGGCGTGGGCAGGTTCCCAAAGGACAGAGCCGGGCTGGTGAAGGGTCTGAACCCGAGGCTCTGATGGCTGCCCCCACGGGCCCTGCTGGTCAGAGGCGGCCAGGCCTCGGGGTGGGGAGGGGGTGAGCTTGGCCTTTGGTTGCCACCTGCCCACCCAGGTGTGCCCTGGCACCTCCAGGCTGAGTCCCCGCCCTTGCTCTGGGTCCGTGCCTGACCCGCACCCGGCTGCACGCTCCCTTCCCCGGCTAGAACCGCAGGCAGCGTCCTCCTCTCAGCTGCTGTGGCTCCGTAGCTAAATGCAGCTGCGGTAGGACGACCCCCAGCAGCCGTTGCTTTCTTTTCTACTGGGAGGTTCGTGGGGTCTTTTGCTCTGGGGGATAAATTACTACATAGCGCAGAAGAAACGTTCAGTGCTTGGAAAGGCAGTTTTGATTCTTTTGGCATTTTTTATTCTTTCGACCCCTGCAACCTCAGCCCCTCTCTCTCCCCCAGTTTCTGGCTCTGGGCATCTTTCCATCTGTGCTTTGCTGTTTGGGGAACTTGGGAAATTAAGTTGTGTTCAAGCTGTGTTCTCTTCGTTCGTTTGTATATTGCACCACGCACGTGCGTGTGTATATTTTTCTTTTTAACAAAACGAGTGCTGCGCGGTGACATGTGCTTCCCTCCCTGCGCCCTTCGTCACACCACGCCTCCCAGTGTTCCCACAGCTGTAAACTCTGGTCTCTTTAAATCTTTCTTTTATCACCAGGGGACCCATTTAGTTCCTCCAAGTCAAGGACATTCATCATAGAAGGTACACAGTACCCTTAGCCCGATTATTGACTTCTGCGTCCAAACTGCATTTTATGAGACAGTGTTTTTATTTACATGACTCTCTTTCCCCGATGACAAACTTCTCCATAAAATGCATAACGGGGGAAAAGTGCCCTAAGAGAACATCTTGCAAGTGCAGGAAAAGCAAAACGGTGTTGGAGCCCCTCGCCGCCGCCACCCACGCTGTCATCTCGTCCCTCCTTTCCTTCCGTGCATGACCCTCCCCACCCTCCAAGCTTGCATTGCTGTGGCCCTCAGGGGCAGACGTCCTTCTGCTGGGGCCTCTTCTTGCTTTGAGGATGCTGGGATCCCCACCCGGAACCTTGGCCCTGGATGGCACGATGGGACCAGGTTCCCACAAGGAGGGAACCCGTCAGGGACCCCAGAACGAGCAGTCCCAGCAAGTCTTATCTCCTCCATAGCTCACGCTCCTGAGCTCCTGCCCTCCCCAACCCCCCCAGAAGCAGAGAACACCAGCAATGAGCCACCCCATCCATGGCACACTGGCTCCATGGTGAGCTCTCTGGCTCTATGTGGCCACCTATGTCCCCTCAGAGGTCTGGACCACCTGCCCTTGCACCACGTGCCCCTGGAGTTGTTTTCCTCCTTGAAGAACGCCTCCATGAGCTGGCAGGATTCAGAGACCCGGGGGCAGCCTCTGGCCACGCCTGGTCTCCCTGCACTCCCCTCAGCTAAGGGCCCCACCCCAAGGACAGGCCAGTCTCCCTCTCCTTGAAGAACGCCTCCATGAGCTGGCAGGATTCAGAGACCCGGGGGCAGCCTCTGGCCATGCCTGGTCTCCCTGCACTCCCCTCAGCTAAGGGCCCCACCCCGAGGACAGGCCAGTCTCCCCGGGAACTGGGCTGTGTTCCACGACGGAAGGGCTCCTGCCTGCCAACTGGCACTGCCACCTGACCCCTCCCATGTATTATTTGTGACCCAGCAGGAGATGCCATGGGTTTTGGCAGCAACTGGAAGGATTCAGTCCTTGTGCTTTTGTCCAACAGCATTAAATATTGAGGTGAAGGACAGTTGTCCCTAATTGTCCCTATTTCTACTGATGTTGGGAGTTAAAGCAGGCGGCCCAGGGAGGCGGTCACAGGGGGATTCAGACTTCCTTCCCGTATCTGCCCAACCCAGGATGGGACACAGAGGCTTCCCAGTAGCCACGGCCCCTGACCTTGGAAGGAAGGAGAGGGCAGGGCTGGGCCTGCAGATGTGGATGCTCAGGTGCAGTTTTCCAGGGGTCCTGGGTGAAACTGCTGGGACCACCACCCCAGAAGCCCCACCCACCTTACCCCAGCCCTGAGGATGTCCTGGGTTCTACCCAACTGGACTTTGGCCAAAGGGGCCCCCAGGGAACCAGAATGGGTGGGAAGAGGTGGATGGGAAGCCAGCACTGCCACTCTGCAGGGAGGGTGCCCGTGGCCTTGCTGCCATTCCGAAGTGGGTCTTTCAAAACAAACCCAGCATTCTCCTCCCCTCCTTCCTCTCTCTCCCACCCCCGGCCATTTTCAGGGACCTCAGTGTCCCCATCTCAGGGGCAGAGGAAGAGCAAACCGCTTAGGGAGGGAGAGGTGGGGCTTCTCGAGGTCAGTGTCCCGGCTCTGTTTTAGAAGCCGCCCGTACCGGACCGGGACCGGCAACGGGATCGCAACCCTTGGCGCCGCGCCCGCACCTCAATCAGCCAGTGAGTGGGAACCGGTCTGTATGTGGGATCTGAACCCTCGGTGGGAGCGCCGCCGCGCTCCCAAGCGGCGCACTGTAGCAGTGCGCCACCGGGCCGGCCCCACTCAAAATCTTTTTTTAATACTAGGAATTATCTATTGTGTAACTGGGGAAAGGGTCCCTTCTCTCTTATTTAAAAGATGGTGTGGAGTTTCAGCAATTTACTCCTTGGGACATTACGAGTCTCAACTGCCCAGGATTCAGGTTGTTCTGGAGCTCGTGGAGCCTCGTAACTGTCCCGCTCCAGGCCCTGGCCCCCCACAGGAGGGGCACCCAGACCCCCATTGCCCTGGGACATCCCAGGCTAGGGGGAGACTCTAGCCTGGTGCTGGGCTGGCTCGAGAACCTGGGACATGGTCCAAAGGAGACTTTCCAGTCTGCTCTGGCCCTCCTGGACGTGAGGGGAGCTCAGCCCTGCAGCCCCACCCTCTGGGACCACGCGGGGCCCCAAACCCTGCCCTTTGGCCCCACAGACGCTGCCATTTCCTCTCCGTTCACTTTTCTAGATTCCAATAAGAATTTGGAACAGCCTGAAGTAGGAGACTAGAAACAGGCAAAAATGCGTTTACTTCCTGTTGCCTTTTGCCAATCTGATTGTAACCTTAATCCGCTCATCTGGTCCTTCCTAAGCGATCAGGGTCCCCGATTCTTCTCCAGACTAGAGAGCCCTGCCCCAGTCTAGAGTCTAGAATCGCATTCTCTGATCTCATCTTTCCCTCATCCAGCTCATCTGGTCCTTCCTAAGCGATCAGGGTCCCCGATTCTTCTCCAGACTAGAGAGCCCTGTCCCAGTCTAGAGTCTAGAATCGCATTCTCTGATCTCATCTTTCCCTCATCCATCTAATCTGCCATAGAAACATCACCGTCCACCCATAGCCCATTTTTCAAAGATCCCACAGGCCATAACTGTCTGAGGACATTGTCTTACGACCAGCTTTCTGGAGCACAGTTCACTTCCTTCATCCCGGAAAATTCTCCCACGCCTGACTTTGGAGCCAAGAAGTACACTGCTTGCAAGACGTCTCTGCAGCCCCGCCCTCCTCCCAGCGCCCCGCCTGTACTTGCAGAATGTCCCCAGGCCGGCCCCGGGCCCCGGCTGTCCCCCACCTGCGGTTTCCCCTTCTCTCATGACAGAGACCGTGCGCGCCATGACCCACGTGATCAACCAGGGGATGGCCATGTACTGGGGCACATCGCGCTGGAGCTCCATGGAGATCATGGTATGGTGACCACTCAGCGCGTGTCCACAGGGCCTGGGCTCCCTGCCCTGTGCTATGTGAGAAGATTCCGGGGCTCTGGCAGCTTGCGTGCCTTTGGTCCCAGTTGCACAGATGACCAGCTACTGGGGGAGGGACAGGCGTGGGAGAGCATGCTGGTTATGTCCGCAGGCCTTGCACACAGGGTCTGTCTCGTTGAATCCCAGGACCGTGTGGCCCTGGACAGATGTCTTAACCTCTCTGAGCCTCAGTTTCCCCACCCGTGAGAACAAGGCTGTTAGCATGACCCACCCCTCATGGGGCTATTGTGGGGATTCTCTGAGAGAACCAGTGTGAAGCTCTTAGCAGAGGTCACAGAACTGAGCAAGCACTCAGTGGCGGTGGCATTATCCCCCTCTTTCATGGGCTCTTGTGATGTCCTGCGAGCTGTAAGATTTAAGGGCTTTGTGGGGACTGACTCCCATCTAATCCTCACAACGCCTCATGAGGTAGGTGCTGCTGTCCTGTTTTTCAGCTGTAGAAATTGAGACACAGAGAGGTCAAGTAAGATGCCCAAGGTCACACAGCTTGGACCGAGATTGACACCCAGGCCATGTGCACTCAGCGCCTGGGCGACCTCAGAATGTAACCCAGCTGTTGGGACCCTGGCTTCTGTGTCGTGATCCGTGGTGTTTCCCCCTCAGCTGCATTTTCAGGAAAGCATCCACTGCTTGTCATTTCCCTATACAGGGGCTGTCAGAGGCTGAAGGCAGTGGACATTCCTTGATAATTCTGGGGTCTCGCAAGGAGGGTGGGAGGGTGTCCCTGTGCTCAGAGGCCTGGAGGGGAGGGGTCCGGAGGGAGAGGCTGCCGTCCTCTCCGTCTGTTCTTGGAGAGCAAGGGCAGGAGCCTGGGGGCTGCATCTTCCCTGAGACAGACCCACCCCCAGCCTCGGCCCTTCCCGGGCCCCCACTCCCAGGATTACCAGCACCCCAGCTTCTCTGGGGAAGTTTCTCCTCTAGCGAGTCCCAGATTTCTGCTTCGTGAAACAAGTTCAGCAGGATTTTCATTTCAAATTAAACACAACTACAGAAGCCCATGGTATTAACCCGCCTTTGGCATCTGTGGCATTGATGACCACTTATTTGGCATTTTTCTGAAGCTGCCTGGAGCCAGCAAGAGCTCGAGGAGGTGTCGGTACCATTATATCCCCATTTTACAGACCAGAAAGGGGGCCTCTCGGGGTGGCAGGTGGGGCTTCCCCACAGGTCTGCCTGGAGGCATCAGCCTGGCTGTCACCCACCAGGGGGTGGGGGCGGGAGCAAAGGCCTTAAGCTCCAAGTCCCAGCAATGGGCCGATGCAGCTGTGTCCCCTACTGTCCCCTCCTGCCCCCTCCTGCCCTGGCGTCTGCTGCTGCTGCCTCGCCCCAGCCCCAGGCCCAGGAAGAGATCATGGTGACAGCAGCAGCCCCACTGAGGGCTCTGAGCACCCGCCACGTGCCAGCACCGTCGTGAGGGCCAGCACTGTCGTGAGGGCCACCACGCCCTTGGCTCATCTGACCCTCACGACAGATGGGGAAACTAAGGCGTGGGGGATGATCCCCTTGCCCAAGGCCACCCGGCCAGTAAGTTCCAGGGCTCTGGCCTCACTACAGCATTGCACTTTCTGAGACCCTTCAGCCTTGGGGTCCCACGACCCGCTCCTTCTCCCCAACTCACCAGGGCCTCATGGCTCCCAGGAAAGCTGCGAGCGGTGGGGGAAGGGGCAGGCCAGGCCAGTCGCTGCCGAGGATACCTTTGTGTCTTCTCCCTGCTGCCCCGGCGGACCCCCAGGCCCACTGACGGGCAGGGGCCACCTGGGCCCTTTTCTGCATCCACAGGAGGCCTACTCGGTGGCCCGGCAGTTCAACCTGATCCCGCCCATCTGCGAGCAGGCCGAGTACCACATGTTCCAGCGCGAGAAGGTGGAGGTGCAGCTGCCGGAGCTGTTCCACAAGATCGGTGCGCCCCCGGCCTCCCCCTGCCCCTGCCCACCCTGCCCCATCCCCACCCTGGGGCCCAGGGCTCAACTTTGCCTGATTTTCTTTCTCAGGAGTGGGCGCCATGACCTGGTCCCCTCTGGCCTGCGGCATTGTTTCTGGAAAGTATGACAGCGGTGTCCCGCCCTACTCGAGAGCCTCCTTGAAGGTGCAGGAGTTGGCCTGGGGTGGGGGAGGGGACAGGCAGGGCACAGGCATTTGGATGGGGGGACCTCTGGGTGGTGCCGGGTGGGGCTTCCCTGGGCCACAGCTGCCCTAGCCACTGTCTGCCAGGGGCAGGTTCCCTGGCATGAGAACAGGGATGGAGCCCTTGTGGCCTGACCTCATGTTTAGAGGGGCTGCCCTCCCTATGGGACATGCCCCAGCAGAAGGAACCCCTTCACCCACCTCCCCCTCTGCCCCCCGCTGTGGTTCAACATTCACAACTTGGGCTGAGTGCCCCCTCCCTCCATACACACCCCTTACTCTACCATCACTGAGACCTCTGGGACCAAGCTTGGGGCTGGGGGCTGCAGAACCACCAAGCGGTGACCCCTGGAACAAGCACCCCCACCTGCATACACCTCTGAAGTGGGGACTCAGGAAGGTCCCCAGATTTCAGGGTTTGGGGAACAAGGAGCAGGCAGAGAAAGGTCTGCCCAGCCAGAGCAGACCCAGCCCCAGAGCCCCCAGCCCTGGGTTCTAAGGAAGGACAGCCTGGCCCACCCGCTCCTCCCCAGCCCACAGCCAGGACAGGGAACCCCGGGGGACAATACAATCTCGGGGGCAGTCAGGGGAGATGGCATGTCCGCAGGGCTGGGGATGGTTCCTCTGGGCTAAAGGTGGCAGCCAGTACCCCAGGCTGCCAGGCTTGCTGGGAGAAGGGAAGGTGAACCCCTCACCTTCTTGTCCTGGCACAGGGGTCCAGTCAGCTCCCACAGACTGTGCACTTCAGCGCGTGACAGGTCCCACTCTTCCACCTGCCTGGGTCTGGCCCATACCAGTAGGCCTGGGGTGGGGAATGCTGCCCTGGCTTCAGAAGAAGGATCTGGAAGAAACACAGATGCTCAGCCATCTGTATGTGGAGGTGCAGGTGACTTTCCCTCACCTGTAGCTGTGCCACTCCCCTCCCCAACCAGGGCTACCAGTGGCTGAAGGACAAGATCCTGAGTGAGGAAGGTCGGCGCCAGCAGGCTAAGTTGAAGGAGCTGCAGGCCGTCGCCGAGCGCCTGGGCTGTACCCTGCCCCAGCTGGCCGTGGGTGAGGGGCTGCAGGCACAGCCTGGGCTCATGTTCCCGGGGGGACGGTGGGGGTCCCTGACCACCGGGGCTGCATCCTCCCCTGGCTGGCCCTAGATACTGGGGCTGGGGGCCACAATGGAGCCAGAATCCCTGGGGAGAAAAGTGAGGGATCCCTAACACAATCCCCCAGCTGGCAACAGGGGACAAGGCTCTGAGGGGCAGGGTTGGGACCATATCCCTGGGGAGATGTCAGGAGTCCTGAGTGCCTGGGCCACCCCCTCCATCAGCCAGCCATAGGAAATGGGGCTGCCACATTCATGGGAAGAATATGGGGTCCCTGAGCACTTGGGCCACCTCTCCACCAGGGGCAGTGGGGCTGGGGCTCCCCCAATACCCCTTGGGCACAGCCCCCACAGGGCCCTGCTGAGCCTCTTAGGCACTCATGACCCCCAGACCCAGTGGCTGGGTCTCCGTGGCCCAGGCGGGGGCAGAGCAGACCCAGGAGGACCCTTTGGCGGTGTGTCTCCCTCACCTCTGTCTTGCTGCCCCCAGCCTGGTGCCTGAGGAACGAGGGGGTGAGCTCCGTGCTCCTGGGAGCTTCTAACGCAGACCAGCTCATGGAGAACATTGGAGCGATCCAGGTGAGTGCGCAGCACCTGCCATTCCTCTGCCTGGCACGTGTTTACTGAGCACCTGCTGCGTGCCAGGCACTGTCCTAGGCTCTGGGGAGGCATCTGTGAGCCATCAGAGAGCCCTGCGCTTGAAGAGAACAGACATAAGCACCAAACGCAAGAACTAAGAAAGTTAGAATGTGTGTCAGAAGGTGACTGTTTGAGGAAAGCTGTAGTGCGAAGAGGGCACCTGGGGCAGGAGAGGTGGCACCGTGGACCCAGGCTTAACAGCGGCTGCCAGGTGGGCCTGGTGAGAAAGTGGCATTTGGGCAAAGGCTTGAAGGGGTGTGGAGTGAGCCATGCAAATGCCCTGGGGGGCGAGAACCTTCCAGGCAGCAGCAGGTGCTGATGCAGAGGCCCGCAGGGGCACAGAGGCCCGCCGGCCTGCAGCAGAGCAGACGGATCCCACGGACACTGCAGCCTCCGAGGACATGGGCATTTCTCCTGACTGAGAGGGAAGCCAGGCGAGATTTTGAGCAGGGGGGAAATGATCCAACTCAGCTTTGCAAGGAGACCTCTCTGGCTGCTCAGAGGGCAAAGATTTGGGGAAGCAAAGGCCCAAGCAGAGGGCCCTGGTGGGAAGTGACAACCGTCCCTCAGGGAAGAGATGAGAGCCATGGTTGGGTCCCGGATGTTTGGGGAGGTGGGGCCCATGGGACTGGCTGACAAGCCGTATACAGCGGGGAGGGAAGGAGGGAGAACACAGTCAGCCCCTGGGGTTTTACCACCTGGAAGGCTGGGGTTGCTGTCAGGTAAGGCGGGGACAGCTAGGAGGAGCAGTTTAGGGGCATAGAGGGCAGGCATTTGGGCCCTGGAATCTGCATTTCATGCCACCACCACCCTTCTGGAAGGTTCTGGAGCACACTGGAGTTTGAGGGAGAGAGTACAGACCCAGCCATGCTTCCTCTCTGCCCCAGACCTTCTGGAGCACAGAAGCAGTGTGGCTCGGTGGGCCCAGATGGAGCCCAGATGTGACGGGTAAGCACAGGCCAGGCAGCAGAGAACGTCACCCGCCTCCTGCATGAGCCAGGCCAGTCTTGGTGGTGGGATTCTGACCAGCTCTTGTCCTTGCACGCAGGTCCTTCCAAAACTGTCATCTTCCATTATCCACGAGATCGATAGTATTTTGGGCAATAAACCCTACAGCAAAAAAGACTACAGGTCCTAAGATGCCCCCGCCCGCCTGCTCGGACAGTCCGCTCCCCTCCTCGTCTCTGTTCGCTCGCTTAAGCTGTTCTGAAGCCAAGTGACGAGTGTGGTGTGTGTCACAGAGAACACCACACCAAGATGTCATCGGGAAATGATCTCCAAAGTCGCTGCCAGACACCACCCGCTGCTTTGCTGGAAGACGTCCGTGTCAGATTTGTGCCGGCGAGATGGCATTGCTTAGGAAGGACATCCAGGCGGTCCCACCCCAGCCTGTTGCCTCTGCTCATCCTCCAACAAGAAAACATCAAGTTTTCTCCAAGCCGCAACCCTTCATCGGATTCCCACAGTCAAGGCCAGGCTGGGAGCTGGCTGAGTCCTCAGGGCAGGCAGGGCTGGCCTCTCCTCTGTGAGAACCCCCACCTGGTGTGGGGCGAGGGGAACAGGGCTCTGGCTCTTCCTGGAGCCCCCTCTGCTGGGGCCCCGTTTCTCCAAGCCGCAACCCTTCATCGGATTCCCACAGTCAAGGCCAGGCTGGGAGCTGGCTGGGTCCTCAGGGCAGGCAGGGCTGGCCTCTCCTCTGTGAGAACCCCCACCTGGTGTGGGGCGAGGGGAACAGGGCTCTGGCTCTTCCTGGGGCCCCCTCTGCTGGGGCCCCAGCAGGCAGGGCTGGCCTCTCCTCTGTGAGAACCCCCACCTGGTGTGGGGCGAGGGGAACAGGGCTCTGGCTCTTCCTGGAGCCCCCTCTGCTGGGGCCCCGATGTTTGGGGTCTTCCTCAACCTCCCTCTTTCCAAGGACTCCAGGTACTTTGTGCTGCGCCTGACCTCAGTTCCCCCTCCCCACCCTTCACCCCGACCTGCCCTGCATACCCACTGGGTTTCGGCAGGGGCCGTGCCTACCGAGCTGGCCCTCGAACCAACCCCACCCTTGCTGGCAGGGGTAGGGACCCCAGGGGGATACGCTCTGTGGTTTGGGACCCACAAAACAGAGGCTCGGAGCACTTGGGAAAGGTCCTGGAGTTCTTAGGAGGGGCCCAGGGCAGCAGGCCCCTCTGTGCTTGCCCCAGAAGGCCCTGTGGCCGTGCACTCTTTGCTGGCCCGTGGCTGCTGACCACACCTACGCAGGTGGCAGCAGGCAGGGCCCATGTGACAAGGACATGTTCCTTTTAGTCCCTAGAGATGCTCCTCTAATACCACCTCCACCCCAGGCCTCTGTGATGGGCTTAGGTTCTGCAGAGAGAACATGCTGGGACACTTTCAGAGAGGGACGGTCACTGGGGTTTTCCAGGCTGCATGCCCAGAGGCTGGGAGACCACACGGCCATCAGCAGCCCCACAGTGTAGGAAAGACCCCAGGGAACCTCTCCCTGGAGAGATGGCTTAGCCTGGTTATTCCCTTCCACACACACCCACCACCCCCCCCTCCCCAGCCTGAAACGGAAGCAGGAAGGAGGGCAGGACGGGCTGAGCGCGAGCCCCTCTGCAGCCTGGGCTGCACATGTGGTCCCAGGTGGTGCCACCGAGCCCAGTCCTGGGGTATTGGGCAGTGCCCAGCCTCTGCCAGCTGGGTGGGGGCAGGGCTCTACAGAACCCGCCCCCATCCCACCCCATGCCAGTGGCCCAGTAGGGGACTGTGTGCCTCCTGCACGGAGCAGGCAGTGGCTGGCCAGCCCCCTCGGCGCACACCCCAGTGCAGTCTCATGTTCCTGCTTCGCCCTTTGGAGGAGCTGCTGTTCCCATAAGCTTCCTGCCTGCCATTCTCCAAGGCCTGCTGTCCAGTCCTGGAGGGCTGAGGCCTGGGAAACCTGCTGTAAGAAAGCCACAGAGACGGGGGAGGAGGCAAGGGAGTTTGGAGAGTGGGGGCACGGTTTCCTCTATTCTCAGCAGACCTTAGCACTGACCCTGGCATCTAGACCCCTTGCCCCTCCTTGTAGACCAGGCCCCTGGGGGTCTTCTCCACCAAGACCTGCTATGAGCTTCACCACGAGTGGCCCTGTGGGTGGAGGGGGCAGTGTGTCCCTGCCAGCAGAGGTCCCAGCCTGTGGCCACTCCCCTCCATGCCCAAGGCTGGAGGTGCCTGTTCCCAGGGCAGGGCTTGTGGTGGACCGGTGGTACCGAGGGGCCGGACTGCCAACCCCCCACTGGCAGGGAGAGTGGCTGGGCCCGTCTCCACTGCTGCCCCCAGCCTGCCCACTGTTGGAAGGTAGACCAGGGTGTGCAGCTACTACTCCCTGTGAGCCACACTAGAAAAGCTGAGCCCTGCTGGCTGTTGGCCAAGTGGGGACAAGCGCCCAGGGCTGAGCTCAGCCAAGGCCTAAGTGCCTGGCACCCAGGACCCAAGTAGCATCCCAGCTGGCACTTCAACAGCCTAGTTAGAGGCAGCCCACTTCTTCCACATCCACCTGCAGGGAGCACGGGGCTCTGCTACCTGGGGGCAGGCCCCCCAACTTAGGAGGAGGCTGAAGGGGGGTTGAGTGGAGCCATCAGAGAAGGGACAGAAACCAGAGCCTAGAAAGGGAGGCGCTGGCCCCTGGCCTGGCAGCTGCCCTTGATCCCAGATCTCACCCCACAGCCCAGGAGCCCCAGCTGCCCACAACCGGCCTTAGCCACCCTCCAGTCACCCCCACACCCTCTCCCAGAAGCACAGTGTGGCCCGGCAGGGTCCCCACCAGGAGTGCCCGACACAGGAAGTGGGCCGGGCGCGGGGCGGGTGGGACCAGTCTTCCTTGCTAGCGACACGCGCTACTGCTCACCCCAAACCTATGGTGGAACCGCAGGTCCCGAGGATCGGCAGGCACTTCCTTCCGTCTTCTGTTCTCATCCAGTCGTGTAAATAATGCCTCTTCTCTCTCCCCATTTTGTTAATGACTATGGTTCCTCAGCTAACTGCGTTCCCTACCGAGGCAGAGACTGCTGTTTGCTTCCAAACGGGACAGACCGAGACCCCGCCGCCGTATTTATGGAATGACAAAATAAACCCAGCGTCGGTCTCTGCGCCTCTGGCTCCTCTTGTGCCCTCGGGGTCGGGGCTCAGCTGAGGGCAGCAGGAGGGGAGGGAAAGGCTGCCAGTGCAGGGACCTGTGGACTGGGCCCCCCAAACCCACCCTGTGGCCAAGCGGGTCAAGAAGAATGGGCCTGCGTGAAAGGCAGAGACTGGGGACAGGGTGGTCAGAGAGAGCTGGCCCCCATTTCCCCAAGTGATTCGGCCCAGGGGCCCGGGGGGTGGGGTGCCCCCAACAAACATCCTCTGTCGCCACCTCCAAGGTCCCAGAGCTGGTTGCTGGGAGGTTGCTGGAACCTCTGGGGCCCCTGGCTGGCTGCTGTTCTCACAGTGAGAGGTCAGGGTCTGGGGAGGCCCAGGGGCTGTCGTGATGTGTTTGGGGGTGCAGGTAGGAGGGGCACTGCCCCAGCACACCCCTGCTTGGGGTTCCCCTCCTTCCAGGTGAGCCCCTGAGCCTGGTGAAGTATAACTTCCCAGGTGGGAGAAGGCTTCAGAGACCCCCCTGCCCACTTACCTACCACCTTCCCCTGCCCGCAGCCCCCACTCTCGTTCTAAATTTGTAAGAATTTTTTTTTTTTGTCTTTTTCTGTGTCCGGCAATGGATCGCAACCCTCAGTGTCGCCCCCGTACCGGACCGGGACCGGCAATGGGATCACAACCCTCGGTGTTGCTCCCGCGCCTCGCTCAGCCAGTGAGCGGCCGGTCTGTATGTGGGATCCGAACCCTCAGGCGGGAGCACCGCCGCGCTTCCCAAGCGGCGCACTGTAGCAGTGCACCACCGGGCCGGCCCAATTTGTAAGAATCTTTAAAAAACACTCTGATTCAATCCTTTCCCAACGGATTTATTAAAACACAGAAAACCAAAACATACACACAGAGTACAAAGTAAAGGTGATTGTGTCGGCTACAGCCTCTGTCCAGCCTCCCACAGCAAAGACCGGACAAGTCGGGACTCACAAGGGAGCTCAGATTCCAAAGCCTGACCCCCTGCCCCTGCTGGGACCCTCCCGACTCGCCCAAAGCACCCCCAGCTCTGTGCCCAGCCCAGGCCCCCTCCCTTCAGCAGCCTGGGACTTGCCTAGGACAGTGGACTCGGCCCCTCTTAGCTGGGCCCAGTGGCAGGTCCAGGAGGGGCCAGGTCCACTGCCTCCACCCCCCGTGCTCAGACCCGTGCGGGGAACCCCTCCCTGCTCTCCAGGCATGCAGGAGAGGGGCTGCAGGGGGGCTCGGGCTCCGATCTCTACGTGAGGGGTTCAGGACACACACACACATACACACACATACCCAACGGGCCCTTTCTGGGTCATCGCACCTAAAAAAATACTTTGTTAAAAAAAATCTGAAAATTAAGGGGAAAAAAATCCAAAAACATAACAATGCCAATGACTTTGGGCTGATGCACCACAACCTGTAAACTTCCAGGTACAGAAAACGGGGCGGGAGCCGGCTTCCGTGACCAACACTGTTTTGCACAGGAGAGCCCTGGGGGAGTGGCCGTCCGTCTTCAGCCACGGCCAGGCCTCCAAGACGGTGAGGGCAGAGGGAGCGTGGGCCTCGGCCCTGCCCCAGCCCCTGGCCCGGCCCACTGCATGCTGGCGTGCACACGAGAGGCTCCGAGGAGCCCACATGGGACCAGCTCTACAGGGCTGCCAGCTCCCAGGCCCCCAAGCCCACCCTCTGCACAGCCTCCCTCAGGCCCTCAAAAGCCCTGGGACCCGAAACTTAGGAACAAGGGCTATAAAGACTTGGTCAGCCAGGGTACCCTGGGAAGGGACCCCCAACAAGCAGGACCACCTTGGCCATATGGGGCAGGGGATCTAGGCCCACCTCTGGGAGTAGCTAACTGCACAAAACAAAGGCGCTTCCGAGGGTGGCTTTCAGGGAGGCTCCTCACACAGGGTCTCGGGGAGACAGACGTGTAGCATGTGAAGGAAGGGGGCCCTCCAGGGTGGTCACCCCTACCCAAATTCCCCACACCACCTGAGAGCCTTCCAAGACCCCTGGCCCAAAGGTGGTTCAACAGAAGCCCTCCTGGGCACTGGTTTAAATAATAAAGCAGCTGGAAGCATGAAAACGCAGGCTGGCACTTCAGGATTCTGCTTGCGCACAGGGACCCTAATTTTGCCAGCAGTGAAAACCAAACCCAGCCTGAAGATGCCGAGGACACGGACACCACCCGCTGCCCCCGTCACACTTCCGGCAGGACATAACGGATAAACCAAGAAGAAAACGTTCTTAAGATCCTTCCTCTCCAAAACCGGTCAACCAGAAACCCACTCCCAACTCTCAGCAGCCCTCTTCCCCCAGGGCCTCCCAGGGCTGGTCACGGACAGCACAGGCCTTTCTGGGGTCAGCAGTGTGGGGACCCGGCTGTCCGTGGGGGCCGAGTCCAGCCTGGTGGACAAGGGAAAGGGAGGTGGCGAGCCTGGGAAGAAGCGGGAGGGCACAGCAAAGCAGGGCTTCTGGGATGAGGGGCCACCAGCTCCTGGGGTGGGGCCGTGAAAAACCCTGCCCTGCCCACCATGTGCCTCCAGGCCTGACACTCAGGACCTGTCCTCTGTTCCCAGCAAGGGCAACCACAGCGCTGACCACCCGTGCACTTGGGGATGACGGCGTCACAGGCGAGCTCGTGGCAGGTCACTTCACCTGTGGCCTGAGCCAGAAGCCTCTGCAGGGAGGAACTGACCAGAGGACACACACACGTGCACACAGCACTGGATGAACCACCATGGACTGGAACGGCCCCGCCCCAAACAAGGCAACCCCTCCCAGGAGGCGGGGCCAGCCGCCACTGTCGGCTGTCCTGTGTCGTGGAAACCTGTGCTGCGCCCCAGCCTGCTAACCATCCTCTCCACACCCAGGATTCTCCCCACTCTGCCCTCCCACTATGCCGGGGTCGGCAGGCCTTGGAGATCTGGAGCAGGACTGGAGTGTGGGAATGCCAAGATGGAAGGGGCCCAGGGTCCAGCCCTCTGAGGGTTCGGAGAGAGCCACATCACAGACGAGGATGTCTGGGGCTTGGTGCGGGCCAGGTAATCACCCCCATGTCCACAGGGCCAGCCAGCAAGTCCTGAGCCCCTTCAGTCCCAGGCAGGCAGAGATGCTGCATGGCCCTCAGGCCTCTCCCAGGGACCTGAGTCTGAGCTCCCGGGATGCCCTTGCCCCGGGCCCAGCTGGCTTCTCACACTCAGGGCGTTCTGTACCCCAGGGTGCCTCCCTGGGCAGCTCCAGGCTGAGCTGGGGCCAGCAGGAAGGACCAGACACAGGCCCAGGGCCTGGGCCACTCCCACCTCCCCCACTCCGCCTTGGGCCATCACATGGTACTACCAGCTGGGAGGGACAACAGACATGTGAGAAGGTGGTCCTGGGACTCGAGGGCATTCCTGGCAGGAAGCTTGGGGTGCTCTGGGTGGGAGCGGTCTACAGAGGCCACCGATCCCCTGCCTCAAGCAGAGCTCTCCCCACATCCTCCGAGAACTCAGCCTGGGCAGCTGTGGCCCCTGCCCCGGCAGCAGGTGCCCCAATCAAGGCCTCTCCAAAGACAGGAGAACAGGGATGGTCCAGGCTCCAGGGAAGGCCTGGTTCCTCAGCCACTGTGCACTGGGGAGTCTGGACCCAGGGGCAGGTGGGACAGGCATCTCCGAGCACAGGGCCGGGCCAAATTCTCCTGGGCCACCTCAGTACCCATGTCCCTTCTGCTGGGACGCTAGCTATCACCTGCCCATACCCACACCCCCTGCGCAGGGCAAACTCCAAACCCCTTCCTGCAGTGGCTAAGAGACAAGTGCAGCCCTCCCCCCGTTCTCCAGGAGCGCACACTGCGGCCAGCCACGCACAGCTGGGGCCACAGGTCCTCCACTGGTAACCACAGAGTCCAGGACCTGTGAGACACACTGGGCCAGGGACAGACACGTGCTGACAGAGAAGCCCCTGTCTCAAGGAGACAGCACATACCTGATGGTTTTCAGACCCGACAGGACGGAGGCAGGAAAACACCCTGCCTGACGTGGAAATCAGCCAGGGTATCCACGCTGGGCCGGGCGGCCACTCCCCAGACCTGACCCACCTGGCACGGGGGGTACCCAAGCGGGCCGGGGGCCAGAGCAGAAGGACAGTCACGCAGATGTAGACAGGACAGGGCTGGGGGGACACTGAGGGCTCCCGGGGCACCAGACGCTGTGTTCTCCCCAGCTGGGCCAGGCCTCAGGGCAGCGCTAGGACTTCCAGGGGGCTTCCCTTCCAGTCTGGAGCCCATGGACAAAGAGACGTAAGCGCTGCAGGTTAGAATCTCCCACACGTCGTCCAAAGTGTTTTACCAAGACAAAGTGTTCAAGTCCTCAACAGGGGAGTGCAAGAGACGCATAAATGCGTGAGATCTCTTCTAAGAAGCCGCTCTGGAAAAGGCGGTACGGTGAGTGTGACGGTGGGTGGAAGAACACTTGAATTATGATGAGGTGGCACTTCCGGGCTCTGGCCCAGCCAGGCTGGGCCTCGTCCTCTGTGTGATGGCATTTCCTAAAAGGGCGGCAGCTTTTCTCTCCCACGGGGGTCGGGCAGGTGGCCCAGAAAGCGTGGCTGTAAAAGGCACAGCAGCTGGTTATAGTTGGGCAGTCAGGTCTCCAGGTGGGGGCTGTGGGGGCACCCCACCACCCATCATGGCCAACTGTGATCAGAGGTTCCCAAGCCAATACCTGCCAGCCACAGGCCACCGGGCCAGGCCATCGGCTACACCCAGAGCACCAGGGAGCACCCCAGGAAGCAGCCTCCAGCAGTGGGGCTGGCCTGGAAGCCCTCATGCCCTGGCGTCTCTACACTCAAGAGAAGTATTAACTGGGACAGATTGGCCTTGGCAGCAGCTGGCAGCCCCAGTGAAAGAAGCCAGGGAGAACTGGCAGTTTCTCCAATAGAAGCCCCCCTCTCTAGCCAGTAACACCTCCCAACCCTCAGCCACACTCTTGGTCCTGGGCAGGCAGGGAGGGCGTGACAACAAGATGGGACGGTGCCACCCTACAGGGCAGAGGACAGGACAGATTCCGGGCTGGGGCAACAGTCCTTGGCTCGATAATGTGAACACACGTGCACACGGACACCCACCTGCACACATAGGAGAGGACCCAAGTCCCAGCCCCTCATGTCCTGCCACCCCAGCCTCCCAGTGGGTGGACACACAGGCCTGAGGTAGTCCCAGAGCTAAGGAGACTGGGGTGGAGGTCCCCAGGCAAGAGGGCAAGACTCTCAAGGCCCCGGAGACAGGAAAGGCTCCAGGGCATCAGGACGTGAGTGGAGTGCAGCGACGGGACTGGTTCTGGCCGGGCCTGACATGCCAGCTGGGGGCAGGGGCACGGGACAGCAAAGTAGCCAGCAGTGGCCTCACCTCAGCTGGAAATGAGCGCTGCGACAGAGGGAAATCATGGGGACGACTAGATATCTGTCAAAGAGAGAGAACACCGCAGGCTAGCTGGCAACAGCCACCGCGGAAGGCCGGCCCCGCGGGGCACCTGTGCGCATGCTGCCCGGAAGCGGACGGGCACCTACCGGTCACATAGGGCCCCAGGGGCATCTGGTTGTAGTTGACAATCCCTCCCGGTCCAGGGCCCCGGAAGTTGGGCCCAAAGCTGTTGTTGTACATCTGGGAGGAGCCAAAAGCGCCCTGGAGGCAAGGACCAGCTTTACAGGTGCAGTCTCGCCCCCACCCCAGCCACCACCCGGGGCGCCCACACGTGCAGGGCAGGGGGTGGTGGGGCTCGGGTCCAGGGTGCGCAGGCCAAAGCTGACCTGCTGGATGGTGGGGTCCCCGGCACGGTTGGTCAGGCGGCTCAGGATGCTGCGCTCCGACATCTGCAGGCGGGCAGCCACGGGCGGGATGCGGGACAGCATGGAGGGCAGGCGTGTCACGTCCGCCTTCATGTCGCTCAGCAGCTCCTCCAGCTGGTTCAGGACTGCGGGAGGGAGGGCAGCGGAATGCAGGCAGCAGCCAGGCTGGCCGGTGCTTATTTACAAGGGTACGTTATGGACCACTCCAAGCAGGAGAACCAGGGCACACTCTTCACCCACCCTCCAAGGCCAAAAAGCGGAGCGCTGCCAACTGGGGAAAGAGTGGGGCATTGGGAAGAATGCCTCCCAGGGGCCCAGCGCCACAGAGAAGACAGCCAGAAACCCTGGCCCAACACTGGGCTTCCCACCGGAGCCTCCCAGGGAGGCCTGCAGCCCCGGCCCACTGCTGGGACGGGCAGGGGTGCTCACAGGGCGGGCTGCCAGCACACCAGACAGAGCACAGGCCTGTGAGCCCTGCGACTCTCACATGTGAGCTTGGCCTTGGCCGTGTCCCTCTTGGCTCTGGGTCCCCCTCTCCCCCCGACCAGCCTGGGAGCTCCCCGAGGACAGCAATATGCCCAAGGATTACAGACACGGATTCCAAGCACAAGTGGCAAGGTCTGAATTCCAGGAGACCTTGGGCAAGTCATTTCACCTCCCCGAGCTTCAGTGTCTTTGTCTTTAAAATGGGGACAATAAGACTCACCACTTAGGGTACTATGAGGATTAATGAGATGACGTATTTAAGGCATATTGTCAGGGCTCGATAAATGACGGCTTTTACAATTTCATGACATTCTGTGTCAACTTCCCCCAGCCCAGGGCCTGCCTACAGGGAGCCTTCGGAAAAAGGCTGGAGGAGGAAGGGCCTCAGTTTCCCCACAGGTGAGATGAGAGACTGGCGCTCTGTCCCCAACCCCTGCCCCACCATCCACAGCCAGGAGCACTCCCTGGCCAGGAGGAGGACAGGCGGGCCACGTGCAGGCAGCGGGCCCGCTCACCCTTGTGCAGGACGGCATTGGCAGGCTTGTTCCCGGCCAGGGACTCCTTGGACAGGTGCTGGTGGCTCTCAGCAAGGCACTCCACCTCGGCCAGGCGGGCGTTGAGGGCCATGGCGGGGTGGTTGGGGTCCTGGGTCATGTTGAGGTACGCGGCCCTCCGGAGCTGTTCCTCAATCACCAGCGCCTGCTCCAGCAGCTGGGGGGGGACCGCGCATTGGCCTGGCCCCTCTTCCTGGAAGGCCGGGCCCCCCTCCACCCGCAGCCGCCCCGGGCTTCCAGCAAGCAGGGTTCTCTGTACCTTGTCACCCAGGCCACGCCAAGGACCCCATCGCTGTGTTATTTGATTGACTGACTCCTCTCTGTCTTAGCCTGGCCTAAGTCTAGCACGGGGAGGGGGTTGCTGCTCTCTAATTCCTTTGTCCCAGGCCCTCCCGAAACCTGTCCCTCTCGTATCCCCACTCCCCCCACAGCCTCTGGCCCTGCCGAGGACTGACCTTGAACCTGCGGGCCAGGAACTTGTTCTTCATCTCCAGGTAGTTGCCCTTGTGAATCTCAGACTTGAAGGGCTCGTTGAGGATCATGTATCTCGGGTCATTCTGGATGTCCTGCCAGCGGGCATAGCCATGTCTGGGTGGGGCACCGTTAAGGGCAAACCTGGCCGTTGGAAGAGGCGGGGTCCTGCCAGCTGGGGCCGGGGAGCAGGGGCCAGCTGGAGTCAAGCATCCAGGCTGTGTGCTCTCAGGCAAGTCATTAGCCTCGGGTGCAAGATCAGCAGGTTGACGGAGACAGAGACAACATCAGGAGACGCTGACAGGTGCCCTCGGTGCGCTAGACACGGCACGGGGGCTTTACAGGGTTAACCCCTTCGTCTCAACAACCCGAGGTAGATACGTTCAAACCCCCTGAACGTGACCTTATTTGGAAAGAGTCTTAGGTGCAATCAAGTTAAGAAGGGGTCACACCAAATCGGTGGGCCCAAGATCCAATGACTGGTATCCCTATAAGAGGAGGGAAATTTGGACACAGACACAGTCACGCACAGGGAGAAGCCCTGTGACAACAGAGGCAGACATTGGAGCAATGCGGCTACAAACCGAGGTACACAGGACTGCCAGCCACCACCAGAAGCTAGAAAGGCTAGGAAGGACTAGAGCCATCAGAGGGCTCTCCCGAGGTCCACAGAGGAACAGGCAACAGTCTGCCCAGCCTGGCCCAGCTAAAGATACGTCACGATGCCCGCCAGCAGCCAGTAGTCATGGCGCCGGTGCCAGATGTCGTAGATTTTCCCCGACGACACAGCAGCACGTTCCTCGTTCTGCCACAGCGTGTGCAGCTCTGGGAAGCGAGCCAAGGTGAGCAGAATGAAAGGTGCCCCCAGGCTTCCACAGAGATGTGGGCCTGGGAAAAACTACCTGCCATCGCCCCAGCCCCAGGGGCTCAGTGTTCCAGGGTCGCTAAGAAAGTTTACTCAATGGACTCGTATCAACCACTCACACTCTAGTATAAAATAACCCTCTGCCCAGACTCCCAGGATCCAGAGTCAGGAAGCCTGTGACACCCAGCACCCCGCCCCATACCTGTGAAGCCCCCATCTGCAATGTTGAACATGAATTTGAATTTCCCACTCTTGTCCTCCTTCTTTCCCTCCACATCTTCTTCTCTGTCACCATTTTGCTGTGTTTCAATGGACTCCTTCTCTTCAGCCTTGGTGTCATCTGTGGGAGACAGATCACATTCATTCATCCATCCAAAAGGCACTTCCCTGGAGCCTCTCTCTGCCCAGCGCTGGGGACCCACAGACAAGCATGAAACATCCCCTTGTCCTCAAGGGACTCTCTGCCAAAAAGGATTTTAGAAGCCAGCAGCCCCTTTCTCCGTCTTGAGTAGGGAGGCTGGTTCCAGGCCCCAGTGCCCCTCCCCCAACACATCAGGGCCACCTGGAAACAGGGCAGGGGAGCGCTGTGGAAGGAGCAGCTCAAGTTCAAGGACGACAGAGCTGCCTGCAGGGTCTGATCTGGGGACGACTGTGCCAGACATTCCAGCACCAAGAGGCACACAAAGCTTCCAGCTGACCCCACATCCTCCAGACCAAGCGCTATGCCCAGGTCTCCCCCATCTCTCTTGGTGGCTGGGGCCAGAAGAGGGGTTAGGAGAGAGGAGGGGGAGTCTGTCCTCTGTGGGGAGAAAGCCTTGTGCTGTGAAGGGCTGGCAAGTCCAGGCTCCCACCCACCAGCTCCAATCAGGGCCAGGGGCCAAGGGGACAGTGCCTGGGAGGCTGCAGGAGGCTGAACAAGTTCCAGAGGACACCCAGGAGGGACCAAGGGACATAGGCCAGAGCACACAGAAAAGCCCCAGACCTGGCCTGAAATCGCTGCCGTCCCCTCTGCTGTGAATCAAGCTTAGCTCCAGCTTGTCCAGGATTTTCTCTTTCTCAGGAAGCACTTCCTCTGCAAGACAAAGAGGGTTCATGGGGTGGGGAGCGGTCTGGGAAGGCAGAGGAGCCTCGGGGCTGTTGGCTTTCCAGCGCTGTCTTAGGCACACACAGAAGCCCATCCGTCAGTATGTTACTCCAGCATGTGCCATCAAACGGAGCTCCTCTGCGGGGGGTGGCGGGACCTCCCCACCACCACCAGCTTACCCCTCCCCCCAGACACCTCGAGGAATGGTCTCAAAGTCCTCCTACTGCAATGATAACCAGAAGATTTGAAGTCCCAGCAACAGAGCTGACCTTCGTTAACATGAACCTCCTCTTAAAGACACCCAGAAATGTTGGGCAAAATACACTGCATTGAAAAAGCACACAGGTGAGCTCGCAGGAAGAAAAGGAGAGCAGCAGGTGCCAGAATGCAGGGGAAATTAAAGGTGCAGAAGGACAGCTGGCGTCTGGTGGCCCCAGGCAAGGCCCGCGACTTGGGGCCTGTGTCTCAGCACCCAGGCAGGACAACAGATGAGGCCTCAAGCCCAGAAGATGCAGAGAATTGGAATTAAGCCAACACCCTCCAGCCACAGTGGTCTCTGTGAAAGAGAGAAAGTTCTGTCCACCGGCCATGGCCAAGCTGAGGAAGCCTGTCTCCAGCATGGGATCTAGGAGAAGAAAGTCTCCAGTAAGGAATCGAAACCCACACAGGCTGTGAAATCTGCACGGCCCCACCCCAGGCAGAGAAAGCATCATAAACACTGGTCCCAGACCAGCAGAATGACCAGGGGACCGCCGGGCCCTGAGCTTCTGGAGATAAAGAGGGAGAGACAGTCCCACTACTCAGGTGACATGGGATTTCTGTGGATGAAACAATCCCTGACAAAGATGTACCCAACCAAAACCTAGAAACCAATGATCCACCCACAAAGGGCAAGAACCAGCAAACACACAAGAAGTAGATAAGCACTTTAAGACATTAAAACAATGTCAAAGGGACTATAAACTAAGTAAGCTTGGAGTGATTTGGGTGTGGGGAGGGAGAAGGAACAGAATCCACAGGGAATGAATGAGATCAGGAAAATGAAAATTGGGAAAACCCAGATAAAACTTCTAGAAATAAAATCTACAATCATTAACATTTTATTGCAGAACTCTGAGATATCCTCTAAGACTTCCCACTCCTGGAGTCCCTGCATATAATCCCTGGGACTGTGAGTATGATGGATTTACTCCCCTGAATGGGTTATGTTATATGGCACAGGTGACATTAACACAGGGAGATTGCCCAGGCCAGCCTGACCTGATTACTCAAGTCCTTTAAAAGCAGAGAGTTTTCTCTGGCTGGTCACAGAAAAGGAAGTCAGAGATTCAAGGCGTGAGAGGGTTTCCATGCACCGCTGCTAGCTTGCAGATGGAGTAGGCTCCATAGCAAGGAATGCATGTGGCTTCTAGGGGCTGAGAGTGTCCCCTGCTGATAGCCAGCAAGGAAGCAGGACCTCAGTCCTTCAACCCTAGGAACTGAATTCTGACAACAAGAATGAGCTTGGAAGATTATTCCCCAGAACCTTCAGACAAGAACTCAACCTTGACCTCAGTCTTGCAAGACCTCACAAGAATGAGCTTGGAAGGAGATTATTCCCCAGAACCTTCAGACAAGAACTCAACCTTGACCTCAGTCTTGCAAGACCTCAGCAGAGAACCCAGACACACCACACCAGACTTCTGACCTACAGAACCGTGAGCTAATCCATGAGTGTGTGTTAAGCCACTACCTTTGCAGTAATTTGCTTGTGTTAAGACACTACCTTTGCAGTAATTTGCTATACAGCCGTACAAAACAATACAGATGGGTAAGTTAAAAATAAAAACAGCCATGTAAAGAAAGTAGAAACTGAAGCTACAACTGAGGATTACTCAAAAAGCCTTGCAGAGAGATAGATAAACAAAAAAGTGTTAAGCCACTACCTTTGCAGTAATTTGCTGTACAGCCGTACAAAACAATACAGATGGGTAAGTTAAAAATAAAAACAGCCATGTAAAGAAAGTATAAACTGAAGCTACAACTGAGGATTACTCAAAAAGCCTTGCAGAGAGATAGATAAACAAAAAAGAAGCAAAAGACGTGAAAAACTCATCAGCCCCCAACTTTGGCCAACCTTGTCCTTGTACCCTGCTTTCTCCTTCTTCAGGCATTTGGGGTCTGTTGTTAAACAACACAGACCTCTGTTTATTGTTGATTCCTGTGTCCCCCACTAGAATACAAATTCCATGAGAGAGGCCTTCAGCTGTTCACTGCTGTGTCCCCAGTGCCTGGGACAGCATGTGACTCTCAGCAGGCTTTGTACGTGTGTTTGTTGGATAAATAGGTGAATCAATGAATTCCAGAGGTGGAAAGTAAACAGAGTAGGGAAAAAGACAATATTCAAACAAGAAATGGCTGAGAATTTTTCCACAATTGGTGAAGGACATAAATACTCAGCTTTAAGAACACAGTGAGTCACAAGCAGGATAAATAAAAACCACACATCAGCAAAGACAAAGAGAATGTCTTAAAGGTAGTCTTCTAATGTTAGAAAGGATAGAACAGACAGATTTCCTACAAAGGAGCAACAATTACACTGGTAGTGGCCTTCTCGGCAGCACAAGGAAAGCCAGAATAAAAAAGAAATACTATCCTCAAAGTGCTGAGGGGAAAATCCCTATCCCATCTCAAATTTTACTATTATTCAAAAATAAAGGAGGGCTGGTTGGTTCGCTCTGTTGGCTGGGGCATGGTGTTAAAAACCAAGGTCAAGGGTTCAGATCCCATCACCAGCCAGCTGCCAAAAAAAAAAAAGAGTAAAGGAAAAATAACACACAATGAGAAAATGTACCATTCACAGAAATTTTTGGATAGCCCCATTAAAGGTTGTACTTTAGGAAGAAGGACTTTGAATGAAGCAATGGTGAACAGACGAGCAAACATAAAACTGGTAAGAATGTGAGAAGATCTAAATAAGGATCCAAGATTTAGAAGGAAGCCTAACAACAAATTTGGGAAAGTAAAAAGTTGAAAATAACATACTGGGCAACAGCAATGTGGCAGATGAAAGGAAACTGAGTTACACTAAAGCTATCTATAGTCTTTGTATTATTCAGGAGGGATACATGTTAAAAATTTAAGAGTACAGAATAGAATTGGCTATAAACTTTCCAAATGAGTTGAGGAAAGAGAAGGGAGATTTAAAGAAAATTTGATGATTGAAAGCTGACTTTCGTTTTCACCAAAAAAAAAAAAAAGAAAGAAAAGAAAATTTGATGAATCCAAGAGATGACAGGAATGGAGAAAAAAAGAAAAGGCAAGGGCAATACAAAGCTCAAAATAAGATAGTAGAAATTCATCCAAATATCTAGTTATTACAATAAATGTAAAGAGATTAAATTTGCCAGCTTAAAGATAGAGACACTACGATTAAATTTAAAATAATGAATCTCCTTGTACGTTGTTGGCAAGAGATATACCTAAAACATAATTGTACAGATAGATTAAAAGTAAAAGAATGGAAGAAAATATTTGCCAATCATATATCTGGTAAGGAACATATATCTATAAAGAAGTCTTACAACTCAATAATAAAAGGTAAATAACCCAATTTTAACAGGGCAAAGTATCTGAAAAGACAATTCTCTAACTAATATATACAAATGAGTTATAAGCACATGAAAAGCTGCACAAAAGAAATACAAATCAAAACCACAATGAGATACCACTTCTCATCCACAATGATGGCTATAATCACAATAATAACAGTTGGTGAGGATGTGGAGAGACAGGAGCCCTCATACATCTCTGGTGGGAATGTAAACTGGTACAGCACACACAGAAATAATTTAGTAGTTCCTCAAAATATTAAACAGAGTTACCACATGATTCAGTAATTCTACTCCTAGGTATATACCCAACAGATTTGAAAACCTATGTCCACATAAAAACATGTACATAAATGTTCACAGCAGCATTATGCACAGCCGAAAAGTAGAAACAACCCAAAATCCATCAACTATAAATGGATAAGCAAAACAGATCCCTACAATGGAGTATTATTTGGCCATAAAAAGGAATAAAATACTAATATATTCTGTGACATGGGTGAACTTTAAAAACAGGCTAAGTAAAAGAAAAAAATCTGACCATATCAAGGCAGAAAGCAGGTTTCCACAATATCATATAGATTTCTTATGTTTTCAGACGACAGTGCAATTGAGTTAGAAATCACTAATTAAAAGAAAGGGAAAAAAGGCCTAAACTTTTATGGCAGGAAAAGTTAAAGTCCATCTGTACAGAGACATGGGGCCCAGCCCATCTGGGACAGGGCACACTCAGCCAGGGAAAAGAGTGGAGCCTGCCCTACTCAGCCCAGGGCCACGGAAGCCACAGGCTGTGCTGGGCGGAGTACCTTTGGGCAGCTGCTCCGGAGAGGGCTGGGCCTTCTCTGTCTCCTCTGGCCGCTCCTCTCGGGCTCTCTCCTTGCTGTCCAAGCTCTCGTGTTTGTCCTCGCCCTCCACTCTGTCCAGGGCAGTTGGCAGGGCCTGGGGGACAAGCCAGGGGAGTGCGGGGCCTCAACAGGTGTGGTGCGCAGGGAGTGTGCACTGGGCTGGGAACCCACCATCCTGGCTCCGGTGCCTGCTCCCCCAGGCCCAGAGGCCCGAGCTGGGAACCAGGAGGCTTGGGTTCTACCTGGCTGGGCAAGGCCTGAGAAGGTCCCCAGACCCAACTTCCACTCTACACCCATGATGGGAGACACCAGCAATTTCCATACCTGGATTTCCAGGGCCTTCTTTGGCTTCTGGACCCCCGGCTCTTTCTCATCCATGTAGCCCAGCGGGGCTTCCATTTTATCTGAAAGATGAAAGGAAAGAGATAAGACAGGTGGGCTGAGGTGGGGAAGGGGGAGAAGGGCAGGGAATGGGGTGCCAGAGAAGACAGGGAGGGCTTGGCCTTCGGGAGGCCCCATTGGGGCCAGGCCCCTCAGGGAGAGAGGGGCAGGATCCCCGGATAAGCCAGAGGGCCAAGGCCAGGCTTCCGACTCCAGGATCCTTGTAGGACCTTGGGCCCAGTGGGGACCTGCACACAGTAATGGCTGCCCATCTGGAGGCAGGGGGGTGAGGAGGCCAGAGGCACGGATTGCAGGCCAGGACACCTAGGTTTGGTCCCAGCTCTCAGGCTGGCTCACTGGCCGTGTGCCTTCAGACAGATCGTTTGAGTCTCCTCCTTGCTGCTGACTCGTGTGGATCCAAGAAGCCCTGGCAGGTGGGTACTATCAAATCCCATGTCATGGATGGGAAAACAGAGGCCCAAAGGGGTTAAGTGACTTCCCCAGAGTCACACTCAGAGTTCAAGGCACAGCCAGGAAGCAAACCCAGGTGTGTGCACCTCCTCAGGGCACACTTATGTCCTCAGAGAAGCTATGCCTCTCAGGGTCTCACCTGTCACCTGGGGATGGGTGTATCTGCCCCAGGCCTCAGAGGCCCAACTTTGCCCAATAAAAGACATGTTGCCCAAATAAACACCTGGATTACCAAAAGGGCACTGCAGACAAATAACCCAATTTAAAACAGGCGCAGGATCTGAAAAGACATTTCTTCAAAGAAGACATACAGGGCCGGCCCGGTGGCGCACTGCTACAGTGCGCCGCTTGGGAAGCGCGGTGGCGCTCCCACCGAGGGTTCGGATCCCACATACAGACCGGCCGCTCACTGGCTGAGCGAGGTGCGGGGGCAACACCGAGGGTTGCGATCCGTTGCCGGTCACGAAAAAAGACAAAAAAAAAAAAAAAAAAAAGAAAAAAAACAGCCAGTAAGCACCCGAAATATCTTCAGCATCAGGGAAATGCAAACCAAAACCACAGTGAGCTCCCATGTCACACTCACTGCAAAGGCTAGAATCAACAAGTCAGACAGCAAGCACTGATGAGGATTTGGAGAAACCAGAAGCCTCACACAGGGGTGTTAAATGGTGCGGCCGTTTTGGAAAACAGCCTGGTAATTCCTCA